AGCCCATTCCTCATGATCCCCCTCAGTGGTGCACATTCCTTTCTTTTCAGTGTGTCTTTCTATAAGTGCTGTCTTATGTCTTCTCCTTCCTTCAAGAGGACCACAACTCCAGCTGGTTGCCACGAAACAATGTAGTGGGAAAAGAACCTTTCTCACCCTGCTGGCAAAAGAGCAGAGGGCAGACAGCTGTCTACTGAGTGCCTGGCTTATGGCTGGTGCTCAGTAAACACTGAAGCAGTGTGTGAAATTCAGTCGTGGTTTGATGGGATAAGCACAGATTTTTGCTCACAGACAAGCACACAAAGGATGTGTATGCAGGATATTACTTATTGGTGGACTACCATCTTTCTGTCACCAATTCACTTCATTCATATGTGGTTTTTTTTTTTGTTTAGTTTTGTTTGGTTTTTCTTTCACACATACTCCTAGGCCAAAAGACCAGATTAATTGCATGATATTCTGGACAATTAACCAGCCCTCAGAGCTCCCATGCAAATTGGATTTGAATCTTCAGTTTCTTCAGAAATGCCTTTTATTTCAAGCTTTGTTCTTAAATGACATTTTTTCTTTTGTCAAAACTATTTTTGTCTTTGATATTATTTATTGACAAGATGTATGTTACGACTTCCTTCAACTGTGAGAAACAGAGACCCCAGACATCTGTAGTTGAACTCTTATAAGTTCATCACCTACTAGGAGGCAGGAGATGGGTGGAGCCTGGGCCTGCCATGCACTGGGGTGGAGCTCTTGAGAACTGGCTTTCCTTTTCTGCTCTGCCATCCTTGACATGGGCTTATTCCCTCATGGTTACATGATGGCTTAGACTCTAACTTTACAGTCCAGGGGGAGGACAGAGGTGGGGAGTTAATAGTCTCTCCCTCTGAGCCCTTTCCTGGATATTGTATAAATGGAACTGTTTAATATTGCTTATGCTAAGTGCAGGGCTGTGAAGCCATATGTCTTATTTTCTTGTCTCATCAGTAGAGAAAGACTGGGCTCTGCCTGCTGGCTGTGTTACTGGAATCTGAGGAGTACATGTTACAGTGCCTCCAAAGACACAGAATTTGAAGTGATCTGAGCTTTCATTTTTATTCCATATGAATGGAATGCAACTTATAGACACAAATAGTGAATCATTAATTTGCTAAGATTGGCTCTTTTCACATTGTATGATTAGAGGCTTTGGATCCAGGAGGTATGTAGCTAGAGAGTTTTCTCTCAGGGTCCTGCCAAGCCCCAGCAGTCTGACAGCCCACTTATAAAATAAACACACAGACACTTACATTATTTAAACTGTTTGGCCTAATGGCTCAGGCTTCTTATTAACTGTTCTTATATCTTAAATTAACCCATTTCTATTAATCTATACTTTGCCACATGGCTCACTGATACTTACATCTTCCTTGTCATGGCGGTGGCTGGCAGTGTCTCTCTGACTCAGCCTTCCACTTCCCAGAAGTCTCATCCCGCCTATACTCCTCCTGCCTGGCTACTGGCCAATCAGTGTTTTATTTATTAGCCAATCAGAGCAACACATTTGACATATAGAACATCCCACAGCAGAGGTATGTGGGGAGAAACTGTCTAAAGTAGAGGTTAGCACCCTGTATACCAAATCCAGCCCAGACTAGTTTTCCTAGACAGAGTTTTATATTACACATTTACCCTTATTTGTTTACTAATGACTAGTTGTGGCAGAAAGTGTGTGATCCACAGAACCAAGCAAGAGTGCATAAATCATAGTTGATTATGTATAAAGTATGTTGGTTTGGGGTCAAGGACATGAATGAGGAGAAGGGTAGCAAGATACCTGGCTCATGGCTAGTTCAAGGAGCCATGATAAACTGATCACAGAATAGGACTATAGAAATGTGTTTCAAAGCTCAGAATAGTGTGCTATACCAGAGAAGTGGGACTGCAAAGGGTCTTCAGTTGTGCCTATCACAAGAAATTCCATAGATTCTACAGTAGCTTCTAGACTTAAACTATAGAGGGTCTGTAGTTGGAAGTTTTCCTTTGGCCCACCTGGTCTACAGCCACTCACACGCCAATAAATACACAGAGGCTTATATTAATTATGAACTATATGGGCATGACTTAAGCTTATTACTGACTAGCTCTTACACTTAAACTATAGAGGGTCTGTAGTTGGAAGTTTTCCTGTGTCCTGCCCGGTCCACAGCCGCTCAGACCCAAGTAAACACACAGATGCTTATATTAATTATGAACTATATGACCATGACTCAAGCTTATTACTGACTAACTCTTACACTTAAACTAACCAAATACTTCTTATCTTTGTTTAGCTACGTGGCTTGGTATCTTTTTTCAGTTCTACCTTGACATCTTGCTTCCTCTCTCTGGCTGTCAACTCCTGATTCAGCTTTCTTCTTCCCAGAATTCTCCTCATCTGCTCACCCCACCTATTCTTCTTGCCAGGCTACTGGCCAATCAGTGTTTTATTTATCAACCAATTAGCCCAACACATATTCACATCATGCAGAACGACATCCCACAGTGCTTCCCCTTTTCTGTCTAATCAAAAAGGAAGGTTTTAACTTTAACATAGTAAAATTACAAATAATAAAACAGTTATCAAGCAAGAATTACAGTTATAATATCTAGTCTATTTGTATTTGGCAAATTCAAAGAAAATATTCTATCATCTATCCTATATTTGTGAGTCTAAAGTTTCATATCTACCTTATCTATTATCATAACTAAGGAAAACCATAATTATAACTATCTAGTATTCAACTACATCAAAGACCCCAGAAGGATATAATATTACCTAAGTAAACAGGAGGAGCATTGTAAGCAACTTCCAAAACTCTGGAAATGACAGAGACCGCTGCCTGCCTGAACAGTCATCCAAAGTTCCTCTGCAGCTTTGGGGCATCCATCTTCAGCCCATAGGCCTAGTCTCTCAGTCACTTTTCCCTATGTCCTATAGAATGTCTGGCAATTTCTTCTGCAAAGCAGGAACCTGAAGGACCATTTTCCCTTGCAAAGTTCAGTGGTCACCTTCTTATTGGTCTTGCATGTCCAATCAGTACAACATTTTGTCAAGCAGTCCAGGCAAGAACATTCCCCAAATGGCTATTTTTGCCAAGAAGAAGATAAACTTCATATGGAGTGTCTTCGATGCCCATCTTTCTCTTTGAAGTAAATTGGTGCTCCCAGGAGCAGATGTGTCTCATTGTCCAAAAAGTCAAAGTTCTTAAAACATTTTAAATGCCATATTCTGTAGGTCTTTGATGTGTTTGAAGATTACTTACCTAATTGAAATATATGTATGTATACCTAGAAAACTTAACTAACAAGACTGTAAGTGTGATTATCATGGAGACCAATTATTAATCTATATTTCTCAATTATCCATTACAATTTAAATGAGTTACATAAACACACCTTAAATAGTAGAAATATATACATAGTATAACAAAATTAACTTTAAATTTGTATCAAACTAAAATCTATACCAATGTAAAACATTTTAAACAAGTTGCTATTTAAAAGTAGGTTCAACAATCCATTCTTTTATCCTATCATATCTATATCCTATATTCCATATCATATCCCCCTTTCTTCTTTTAGAAAGATATTGACTATGACCAATAACAATTTGTAACCAACAACCTAAAGAAAGACAAACATCCATAATCCATTTTTTTTGGAATGTGGGTATAGTTTTCTAGTCTATTTCCAGCTGATAAAGGGTGCTGAATTCTTATGGGGATCCTGAGAAAATTTGAGATAATGGTTAAGTCCTGGGAAGGCCGGCTATAACCTTTGTTGATAGGTACCATCTGTTAAGGTTCTGGCTTGATCAAATTTATCCATTATAACCTGGAACAAATCCATAACCTCTTGATTCCTGTGGAAACAAAAGTAGAGCCTCCTTTCCAAAGCAACATATCCTTAGATCCAAATTTTGAAGTCAAGATAACTTTAAAATATATATATTGATTTAACTCAGCAGCATTTACAATCAAATTTCTTTTTGTAGTTAAAATCCCAAAGACAATATAATCCAGATTCTTTGTGTAATTTCCATCTTTAAGTGGCTTATTTTTATATTTTTACTGTCTCTTTAAAGACTTTATTTTTTAAAACTTTTTATTTCTTTAATATAACTGTCTGTATTCCTTTTTCTCTCTCTTTCAAGCCTACGTACATTTTTACACACATTGTAAACGGTTTAGAGTTTTATTTCATCTGAATCTGTCTTATTGTGAGTCTATAATCTTTCTCTGACCAGGAGAGATTTTAAATTGTTAAACTGTGTGGCTAGTACAAAAAGTCGCAGCCTTGGCTGCTGACTTTACTCACCTCAGCTTCCCAATATGGTGGTGGTATGTTTACAGCCAGCCCTGAATGTCATGTTCTCTCCTGAGTCTGGGAGGCAGTGGGTCTATGCTTCCCTCCAGCAATGTATAGCTCAAAACCTTTTCTTTCTTTCCTCTTTTATTTTTTTTGTCTGTACTAGCAAAAGCTAAATCTACCATGTAGTGCACTGTATGGCTTGGTGAAACCTCTGTGTAACTTGGCAGGAATCCACCATGCTATAGTTCAAGCCCACATGCCATGAACCCGCCATACTGTAACTTAAGTCTGCACTCCATGGCATCTCTGTACCTTGGCATCTCTATATCTTAGCCCACATGAGGCATGAAGTAGAAAGCTATTTTTTTTTGGCTCCATTAATGTGTGTTTAGCAGCCCTTTTTAAACTCTTTTAGGCCTTATGGAAATCCGAGAGCTCTGTGTTGGTACACCAAATGTAGCTGGAAGTTTTCCTGTGTCCCATCAGGTCCACAGCTGCTCAGATCCCAATAAACACAGAGACTTATATTAGTTATGAATTATATGGCCATGGCTCAGGCTTATTACTGACTAGCTATTACACTTAAACTAACCAAATACTTCTTATCTTTGTTTAGCTACGTGGCTTGGTACCTTTTCGCAGTTCTGCCTTGACATCTTGCTTCCTCTGTCTGGCTATTGACTCCTGATTCAACCTTCTTCTTCCCAGAATTCTCCTCGTCTGCTCACCCCACCTATACTTTCTACCAGGCTACTGGCCAATCAGTGTTTTATTTATCAACCAATTAGAGCAACACATATTCACAGCATACAGAACGATATCCCACAGCAAGGGATCGGAAACTGAGAAGGATTCTTGAATAGGATGTGTTCCCCAGCTGACACTATGTTGGCAACAACTACAATTTTTTTTTTCTGATAAGGTGTTCATCTTGCCCAGCACTCAGTGTTGCTACTCATTAGTTTGCTACTCATATAATCAGCAGATGTTGCATGACAGCCTATTGTGTACCAGGCCTTACCTGGCTGTGTGTGCCTGTCCCCATGAGGCTAAGCTTTCCTGGAGAAGAGACTTTGATGTAAGCATAGGTAAGAACAGGAGTTGGTGGAAGGGCTCTAAAGACATACAAAGGAGGTGGCAGGATGCTATTTGGGGGGGGGGGTTGAGGAAGAGCCCTACAGAGGAGACCTTCACTGGGAAGACGGTATGCAAGCAGACACCAGGACCTAAGGGGTATGGTCCAGGTTCTCAGGAAGAGTTCATGGATGAGAAGAGACATTAAGGTAGTTAACTACAGATCCAGAAGTAAGCCCATCACTAAAGTGGAGCAGGGTGAGAACATGACAAGAGATGAAGAGGAGAGGAAGCAGGATGGGCTCTTGATGTGATTCCAGATAGGTTAGAGTTTCGCTCCTGCTACAGCCACACTACACCAGGGTGTCCAGCTAGAGTGATGTGGCCTGACTTGCCTTGTACTGGGACTTATGGCTGCTGTGCTGAGGTCAGGGACAAGGCAGTCATTACAGTATTCTAGGGGTATGCTGATGGCAGTGGAGGTTAAAAAACAACTCAGGTTATGGTTATATTTCAAAGGAGGAGCCTGTATTATTATTGAGCTAAGGGAGGATGTGAGAGACAGACAGGAATCAAGGACACACAATGACTGTAGAAAGAGAAAGGGGATGGGATGGTTTTGGCAATGGGAAGGAGAGTATCATTGGCAATTAGGACAGGCAAAATTGTGTGTAGAGCAAACTTGCAAAGGAATATAAACTCAGAGGTATGTCTGCAATTGGGGCTTTGTTTGTATCAAATTGAAGGAGTCAAATTGACCATAAAATGTATTATTCCAGAGTTCAGGGAGAAGCCCAGGATTTGGAAATTATGTTCAAAGTCATGAGACTAAATGAGTTCCCCCTCGATAAAGGCATTTTTGGCCCAGGACATCCCAGGTGTTTGGAGGTTGGGTCAGTCAGTTTTCTGACACAACAACTAATATGGAGATAATCAACATAGCAAGTTAATAATCCCTTTCTAGAGAACATCTCCATGATCTGAACACCTTCCTCTAGGCTTCACCTCTTAAAGATTCCTTCCCCTTCCAAAGCTCCACTCTGAGGACCAAGTCTTGAAAAATTGGCCTTTAGGGACATATAAAGTCTAAACTGGTCCAGAAGTTGAGAGGCTGAGAGAATGTTCTAGAAGTCTAACCAAGGAAATGCTCCCAGGGACAGTGACTGTCTTCCTCTGTTGAATTTGCCCAATTTGATTTATTTCAACTTAATATTTATCTGTCCTGCACAGAATAAGGAGAAACCTGTGCAAATGATGTTTAAAAAGTCTACCGTTAACATGACCTATATTGAAGAGATATCCACCAAGATTCTATTGCTTCCCTATGCTGACAATGAGCTGAACATGATCATCATGCTTCCAGATGAGCGTGTTGAACTGAGAACGGTAAGGCGCATGGGGCCTTGATGGAGCTGTGAGAGACAGTGTCATTTGGGTTTCTGCTAAGGCAGCTCTCCTAGGCTCCTATGATCATGTTTTTGTCTTCCATTCATTTGTGAGACTGGGCTGGAACCCAGGGTCTGGAGCCTGCTTGACAAACACTCACCACTGAGCTGTACTCACCCCTCCCAGGTACCATATTAACTTACAGCCACACTTCCCCGTGCAGTGTAGAGCCTCCCCATCATCTCAAGTGCCCTGTGACATCACTGTCCTGAAGTCTTTAACTCTCTTCTAGGTGGAAAAGGAAATAACTTATGAGAAATTCATCGAGTGGACAAGGCTGGACAAGATGGATGAAGAAGAGGTGGAGGTTTTCCTCCCACGGTTTAAACTGGAGGAGAATTATGACATGAAGGAATTCCTGTGCAAGCTGGGCATGACTGATGCCTTTGAGAACAGGGCAGACTTTTCTGGAATATCTTCTAAGGAAGGCTTGTTTCTGTCCAAGGTTGTGCATAAGTCCTTTGTGGAGGTCAATGAGGAGGGCACTGAGGCTGCGGCTGCCACCGCCGCCAATGTATCTTATAACTGTATGTCCCCCTGCTTCTTTGCCGACCACCCCTTCCTTTTCTTCATTCAGCATGTTAAGACCAATGGCATTCTGTTCTGTGGCCGGTTCTCCTCTCCCTGAGGAAAGGATGTTCCTGTGTCTGCTTTGTATGCACTCTCCATGGTTTGCCTGTGACCCAAGTGATGTCATCAAGTACAATGACAGTTTTGAAATAAAGGCTTTATGGCACCTCACTTTCAGAACTGTGTGCCTATCTCATTGGGGGGCTTTTTCTGGGATCTGAATTTGCACTTCTTGGGTTTGTGGTGTAGCTGCCTTCAGAATTCATCCCTGTTGGGAGGCCTAATTGCTTCCATCAGTCAGCTGTATATCCTTACTCAAGAGTGTGTTGTCTTTATTTCTTCTCTACTCAGCTGTATTGAAATCTCATCTCACTTTAGTGAAAGAATACATGCAGGGCAGGTCTTTTGTGGAAGGGGCAATAAGGGTAGCCTCAGACAGTCTCTGTAGGCAGCTCAGGTTCCAAACTGGGGAAAATAGGCACAGTGTTCTGGGACTCAGCTCAGTGAAAAAGCTCCTCTTTCTCCATGTTTTTCTGCACATGGGGTATGTCACAAATCAGTGCAGGCAGATGTACACTGCCTGCTTGATTCCAGCGGGCAGATGTGGTGATATATTGTGTACCCTAATAAATTTGCTAAATATCTGAGAACATAAAAAGCCACTAGATTAAACATGGAGGATAGGCAGTGGTGGCATACACCTTTAATCCTAGCACTCAGGAAGCAGAGATCCGTGTGGATCTTTAGATTAACTCAGTCTAGGAGAAAAACAGAGCCAGGCAGTGGTGGCACACACCTTTAATCCCAGTACTTGGGAATCACATGCCTTTAACCTCAGCAAGAAAGGTATATAAGGTGTGAGGAGACAGAAACTGAAGGCTTTTTGGCTGAGGAAGCTCATTTGGCTAGAGGCCTATCAGGCTGAGAATTAGATAGAGGTATGAACTCTAGCGGCTGGCTTCTCTGCCTCTCAGATCTTTAGGCAAAGTTTATTACGGCACACAATATATCACCACAGGCAGAGGCATGTGTAACCATTCCAGGGAATATGGCTGACCACAGCTAGTGAACTTCTAGTTCATGGTCAGTATTACAACTGAAAAAGTGTGGCAGGAGTGGATACAGGAGTTAAGTGGACGTGTATTGTCTTTTAATGGCTGAATTTAGTCTTGGGACCAGACCATATATCTAAATGTTCCTTGAGCCCCTTCAGGACTAGTGTGATTCCCTTACCTCAGTAGTACTGCCTAATTTTTGTGCTCTTCTTGACATACTTAGAGCAGCCCAGGGCAAGGGTGAGTATGAGTGTACTTCCTGTCCCCAGGGAATGGATGGCTTCATCTGTCAATCAGGGACTGTGCAAGATGTAGCTAAGTGACTAAAAGAACAAATATGACTTCAGAAAGCCAGTCTCTCTGAGGTCTGCCTACTATGCAAGGGCACATGGGTTGAATTTCCTAATTACTACTTCTCTTGGGTATTCTTATTGACATAATTCTTTTCAATTCTTGCTTCTTTAACCTTCTAGTATGATAGTATCTCACATATGACAGGACATTAACCTCCAGATGTGATCCCAACAAATATCAACTATTACCATCAACATCAGTTCCTATCTGACACATTTAAAACTTCTAGGGTCTTAGAGTGTGGTCTTTGACAAATGCCCCTCCCCCTTCCAAATGCAACTCAAATCTTTTATGCTTCAAGTTCCTATAAACCTATGACAGAGTAACAATGCCACTCAGTCCCACTTCTCTCCCTGTCTTAAACCCCATCTCAACTCTAGAGAAGAAGACTTTCTATTGTCAGTCATCTTCTTGTGGCTCTGCCAGGGGCAAATGTAAAGACAGAAAGGCTGAGAATAAAACAATAATCCCCACCCTTAAACAATTACAACTTATCTGCTTGGGGATCGACTCAGGAATGTATGAGGTCTTATCCAAGAACATAAGTCCTGAATACCCATGGGGCCTCACTCAAGTGACCAGGAAGACAAATGCTGCTGCAGATGTATTATCAGGATGATAAGATGGACACTTCCTGTCTATCCAGATATGACATCACAAAAATGGCCCATAAGATAAGACCAAGTAACTTCCCCCAACTGATATGAAAAAACAAAAACATAAAACCCTTATATCTCAGGGGGATGGTTACTTCTGAGAATTTGCTTTTTTTGTTTCTATGGCTCCTATAATATAATTCTTTAAAAGCATTTATATCTAGTCTGGTAATAATTTTATGTGATAATATAATTTTATAATCTGTAGTTGGAAGTTTTACTGTGTCATGCCCAGTCCCATAGCCACTTATAAAATAATTACACAGAGGCTTATATTAATTACCAATTCTATGGCCTATTTGCCTCAGGCTCACTAGCTAGCACTTACAGCTTAAATTAACCCATTCCTATTAATCTATATGTTGCCACATGGCCATGGCATTACTGGTCTGCTGGCATTTTGTTGCTCCTTGGGCATCAGCTGGCATTTTTCTCTATTTCCTTTCTTCTTCTCCCTCTTGATTTCAAATGTACCACCTAATTTTATTCTGTCTTGCTATTGGCCAAACCCAGACAGGTTTATCAGTTAGCCATTTTTAATGTAAGGCCCTTGGTACTTCTAAGAGTTCAATGGAAGTTGTGTTCTGTTTATGTACATCTTGAATGGTTAGTGGCTGTTTTTTATAGTATCTTATAATATTATTCCCAGAAACTTGAATTGGTCTATAATTCACTTTTGAGTGGAGGAATTTTAATCTGTGTAGTTCATTGCTGTAACAGATCTAAGCCCCAAAGATTCACTGCTACATTTGCCACATAAGGCTTCAGCCTTCCTCTTTGTCCTTCTGGCCCTATGCATTCAAACCATCTCAAACTTTGTTTTACCTGAGATAGGATTCCAATTCCTACAAATTGGAAATCTACCTCTTGAAGAGGTCATTCAGATGCCATGATTTTGGTGTAATTGTAGTCACATATGCACCTGTGTCTACCAACCCTTCCAGGATAATGTTAATTCACACTCTAAACTTTGATTTTTGTTCGTTTATGGAAGTCTGCCAATATATTTGGTTTTGGTATGTTTTGGAATTTTAATCCATCTATCAAAGTTGTTCTATCATCCAGTGCACTATTGTTCTTTACATTAGACACTGGGTTATTTAATTGTCCTGGGGAGGAATTTCCTCTACAGTGATTGGAAATGTTTGGCCCACATTTGATTTGGGGGCTAGTGAGAGCACCCCCCCCCAGTGTTTTCTGCTGGTAAAGGGTTGCCTCATATGTCTCTTATTGATCTGCATTCATTGGTCCAATGTCAGCCTTTGCCATATCATATGCATAATCTAGAAGGTTGGGGCTTTCTGTTTGGGTTATTTCTAAAAGAAGCATTGCTTCTAGGAGTACCCTGTGTACAATTTTTCTTATATGACCTGGTATACCACAGTTTAAACATTTGTTATCTTGATGCTTCCTTTCACCTTTGTAAATTGACTCTTCTATCCAAGCCTCATTACCATAGTTAAGAGATTCAACACCTTTTATATGTTGAATCCATTCCTCCAAAGGTGCAGACTTGACCTTTAAAGATGTAAGTATTCTTTTGCATTCTGTATTAGCATGATCAAAAGCCAAAGATTGAGTTAATATTTGTCTTAATTCTTGTTTATATCCTTGGTCAGTCTTTGTAAAAAGAAAAAAAAAAAAGAAAGAAAAATCAGTAAACTGTTCTTCTGACCCCTGGAAGACCTCTGTATATAGTTCAGTTGGTTTCCCTAGTTCTGTTCCCCAAGCATTTAAAGCTGCTGTACAGCATAGGGATAATGTATGCTCATCAAAGGTAACTTGTACATTTATGTCAGTGAATTGGACCTCACCAAGAATTTGATCTTGGGAGATCTCAAAACCACTGATCTTGCCTTGTTGTTCACAGACTTTAGCCTCTCTCTCAACCAGGCTGTATTCTAATACAACTGAGATTAACCAATTCTACTCATCTGGTATTATTCTATTTGTAGAAGATCACTATTTAACAACTGTTTTACATATGTTGAATATGTGCAATAGATAACTACAGCCTCCTTAATGTGTTTTAAATCCCTCATATGAATAGGTTGCCAGATATATTCTATATATTCTTCAGGATGTGTATCATCTGCTGGCTTCTCACACATGATGACAGGATAAGCCATTTTATAAGAGCCACCAGCAGGAAGCAATTCTAAGAAAATAATGCCCCTCTTCCAAAGGTTTTATTTTTCTCAGGGTTATGGATGGATGGTTATGGGGTTAGGGAGGACAATAAAACTTATACTCAGGATTCTTTTTTGGAAAAGAAAAAAGGGGAATGAATAGGTATAGTATATTAAGGTAGATTATTGTATCTACTAGTAAACTAATTTAACAAACTATCAACCTTGAATAATTTGCATGATATGGATTCTTGTATATTGATACAAATGTAAACTATTCTTATATTCCTATTTGGGATAACTTGTATATTAGTACAAATATAAAACTATAATTATTGCATTATGCACATATTTTTACTCCTGTTTGAAATATTTTGTATATTGATACAAATGTAAAAATATATTTATCATACTATGTGTATGTTCTACCTCTCCTGGAGTGGACTCTCTCTTAACTGAATCTAAACATATATTTTGTTTCCTTAACGTCTCCTTGCTCACCAGTTGAGGGTGTAGTCTTGCAGTTATGGTTTCCCAAGTATGGCAGCCCAGGGGCTTACTTGCCTCACTGGAATGCTGTGCTTTGTCTGGGTCAGTCAAGTGGAAACAGTGCACTACATAGTTAAAAGTCCAAAAGCCAAATATTACTGAAGAGGGGCAGCCTGCAACAGCTGGCTCCTATGGTAGGGCACAGAGGCTGGCTCTCCTGACTAGTGCCTCATCTAGATCTGCCTGCTGGCATAATTCTTCTCCTTTTTGGCCGTTGCTTCCTTAATCTTCTAATGTGATTGGTATCTTCCAAATCACAGGCCATTAAGCCCCTGTTAAGAATATTTTGCATATTGATACATATTAAGGATATTGTGGTCATATTGCATATTGCACTATACATTTCTACCTTTGTTTAAGATATTTTGTGGATTGTCACAATTTTGAGGTCATTGTTCTTATACGGTACACCTGCCTATAGACTATTC